GCTGCTATATATTGCAAATTCATCGGTTTTCCTGTAGGGCGGGGTCACCCCGCCCGTCAATAGCTCACCTTTCGCTCCAGGTTGTGTGCGGGTTGCAGTTCAATGTACGGAAACAGGGAGACTCGCGGAGTTGCGGGCGAAATAAGAAAGGGATTAACATCTTGGTAGCGACGAAAACAGAGAGTTGGATGAGAAGAATTGTCGCTAGAACTATACAAAGAGCTGGGGCTTGAGGGTCGCCAGCGTGGTTCGGAGAGGACTGCAAAACCAACCGCCTGATGCTACCTCCCCTTGTTTATTGGCTTATTGGTATTATACGGGCGAAGTTTGAGACATTTTGGGGGTAAATTTGATCATCCAGAAGCTATATACCGGTTAGTCTGGTTTGGTTGTGTCGTAATATCCCTGATATGGATATGCAACATGAGTCGCCTTGCACAACTATCCCACTGGTATCTTGAAACACAAAGAGAGTGCGAGCGCAACTTAGGGTTAATAGGACACCAAAAGATTGCCAAAAAGGACAAAAAAAGGGGAGAGGATTTGCCTGTTTTAAACATACTAAGACATAGCAAACTCCGATCATTGGTTTTGGGGTATATTTCTCTCTCCTTTTTATATTACATATTACAATCTATGGACTTTAATTGCAGCACTTCCTTGGTTTATAGATTGGCATGAAGCACTCATTCTGTGGTTGCGCTTTCAGGTGGCGGTGGTTTGTCATACGGTATTTGGTACCCTCTATTTAAAGGATTCATCTACCTCACCAAGGAGGCTTCCATAAAATGTCTTCAGAGGAAATTCGCAACAAGAACCAAAAGTAAAAAGGAAAGTGCCATGAAAAATAAATACAATGCTTGTATATAGCGCTCTTGATCTCGTTGTGTATTATACCTCTGATTTCTTTTTATCATAATCTATTCTTTTTTGTCGCAGATCTGCAGGTGCCATCCCACGCCCACCTCGTGCACGGGCTGAAATACTCTGCCAAAGGCGATTATGAAAGTGCCATCAATGCGTACGATAAAGCGATAAAAATCAAGAACGATTATGCATCAGCCTATGCCTTGCGCTCGGAGGCTTACCGTGCACAAGGTGAAAATATAGAGTCCGACAAAGATTGGCGCAAAGCCAACGAACTCCGCAAAGCACAAAAAGCACAATAGGAATTTTTAATCGAACCAGTATCCAGTGCGTTTAGTTCGCCGAAATCCTCCTTCCACCTTCTCCTAACCCGCAACGGACTATGCACCCCCGCCAGCGCATCCGCTTCGCCGTTCTCACGCTTTACGTTTCACGCATCATTCTCCCTAAAACTCAACCGTCAACCCCAGATACGGCAGCACTGGTAATTGGTGGACGTTCCGCTCCTCCGTGTAGTCCCTGTTGTAATCAACATCTAACACATTCATGCGATTATACGCATTGAGCAATTCAAGGAAGATCCCCCATCGCCAACGCTGATAGATGAATGATTTGCTGATACGAAGGTCTAAGCGGTGGAACGGCGGCACCCGTACTGAATTGGTTTCGCCGTAGATGGGGTTGTAGCGAGGCCGACCTGTTTCGGGATGCGGTACAATCTCGGCATCGGTCACCGGCGTGTACGGATTTCCGGTGCGGTACTGCCACTTCGCACCGATTTCCCATGTCGATGTGAGCAGATAGCTCGCTGTGACTGTTGCAACATGGGGCTGATCAAACGAGTAAAACCGCTCCATCTCACCGGGACGGTCCTCGCGTTTGGAAACCGAGTAGGTGTAGTTCGCCCAACTGAAAAACCGATCCCCAGCGCGATGTTTCACGGAAAGCTCAACGCCGCGCGCATACCCCTGCCCTTGGTTAAGATAGCCCTGATTAAGATCTTCCTCCCTTTGGTCACGCGTGATCAGATCTCTAAAATCTTTCTGATAGCCCGCAACCTTAAGGCGTGTTTGCGAGCTAATTTCCCGTTCCTAACTCCACAATATAATGAACCGCTGTATTCTCCTTTAGCTCAGGATTTCCGAATCCCGGCGCGATTTGCCACGGATAGGGACTAATCTCGTACCTGCCGTAAGCGAATCGGAGCTCTGAACCGCCCGGCATTTTGAATCGAAGGCTGCCTCTCGGTCCAACGGAGACCCGATCGGTGAGGTTAAAATAGTCTAACCGCAGCCCCAACGTAACGGATAAGAACTCAAGCGGATCATACCGATTCTGGAGATACCCCTCAATAAAATTGAACCGTTGATCAAAGTCTACAGAAATTTTCTCTTCAAAGGTGAAGTATTGAGACTCACTCGCCGTTGGATCCCCTTCATCGGGGAGGCGCGGGAAGTTGGCAGATCCATTCCACTGTGTCGACGAAACAAGTAACCCCGATTCGAGCCTGATGTTTCTGATTCAAACGGTAAGCGAGATCCTCGCGAAGTTCGTGCTGGACCGGCTCCAGTTCCAGAAAAAGCCCTTGACCAAAGCTAAAGGCTTGGAAATAACTCGCACGCGAGATTGAGAGGTGTGAAGTGAGGCGATCTGTCAGCGCGGATCTGAGATCCGCCGCCTGTACATTAAAGCGACTCTCAAGGTCCAAGTTCCCTGCGAGTGTCGGGTCATACTCGACATCCGCCAACCCCAACTTAAACCCCATAACATCGTCCGCAGCGAACGCCTTAACGTTGAATTGATGGTTTTCAGAGAAATCATAGCTGACCTTCGCCTGATAATCCCAGAATCGCGGGAACGCCGTAATCCGTGTGACCTCTAGCGGAAGGAGATCAATGTAGCTCCGCCGTCCTGCGAGATACCACGATCCACGGCTCCCAATCGGTCCCTCAAGCAGTCCTTCCGAGTAGAGTAAGTTTAGGTTAAATTTGCCGCCCACCCGATCTTCCCTGCCACGCCGTGAATAGATGTCAATTACGGCTTGTGCGTCTGCCCCAAACTCGGCACCGAATCCGCCCGCGTAGACATCAATCCTGTTGAGTATCTCTGAATTTACGGTAGAAACCAATCCACCAAAATGATAGGGATAAAAAAGTGGCGCACGATCCAGATAAAAACGGTTGTCCTCAGGGGCACCGCCGCGGATATAGAGTTGACCGTCGAAATCGCTGGCAGCACCAATCCCCGGCAAGGCTTGAAGCGCTCGGAGTGCGTCTCCCGCGCTGCCGGGGATCCGCGCGAATCTCCATAACTCCCACAGTCTGCCTGCCGACGGTGGCTGGTATCGAACTCGATTTAACCTCAACCCCTTCCAAGGTCACACTAACGGGGGCAAGAGAAATTTCGACTTCAGTGATTTCGCCCGCCTTCACCATGGCGACGTTGTCCTCCTCAAGGAGGCGGTAACCGATGGCAATCACATTCAACGTATAATCGCCGGGCTGGCAGATCCTCGAATCGAAATTCGCCATTCTCATCGGTCAAGGCACGTTGCTCTGTTTCGACCAATCGAACCGTGGCGTTTGCGAGTGGATCGCCCGTTCCATGACCATAGACAGTGCCACGGATCTCCCCATTTTTCGCGATGAATTGCTCGGAGTGTGCAGCAGGAAATATATGAACAGTGCAAATAGAAGGATGACGGATAGATTCCGAGCCAATCCTTTAATACCGTACACCAATTTAATCTCCTCATCTCAAATGAACTAATGAACCAATGAACTATGAACCAACATAAGCCCCTGCAAGAGATCTTCAAACGTCTCCGCAACAAATACCCCCGCTTCACGCAGGGTTTTCACCTTTCCACGCACCGAACCGCGCCCCCCTTCGACAATCACCCCGGCATGACCGAACCGCACACCCTCAAGATCATCAACGAACCCGCCCGACAAAAAGGCAACTATTCGGAGTCGAGAAGGCTTCTGCTTCAGTCGCGCTGCGAGCTGCTCCTCCGCAGCCCCGCCCGGCTCGCCATAGATGACCACAGCATCGGTGGCGGGATCCGCTTCGAGGAGCTCAATCAACTCCGTGAAATTGGAACCGACGATTGCATCCCCACCCACGCCGATGGCGATACTCTGCCCGATCCCACGGCTCGTTAAATAGCTGGCGATTTCGGTGGTCATCCCACCGCTGCGGGACAGCACGGCGACCTTGCCCCGGCATAAACGAGCGACGCACATTATCCACACGCCCACCGACCGTGCCGAGTTTGGCAATCCCCGGACGGATCAGCCCCAACGAATTGGGACCGATGACAGTACAACCAGCGCGGCGGGCAGCAACCAGTAATTTACTGGTGTCCAGTTGCGGGACCCGTTCAGTCATAATCAGACAGAGCAACATACCGGCATCGAAGGACTCCAGCGCTGCATCAAGCACAGCGGGCGGAGGAACAGAAATAACGCTGATAGTCGCCCGATGCTCCTCAACCGCCGCTGCAACCGTGTCGTAGACAGGTATCCCATGAACGCGCTGCCCCCCCTTGCCGGGCGTCACACCGGCGACGATGTTGCTACCGTAAGCGAGCGAGTCCTCGACCATACGGCTCGCCTCTCTGCCGGTGATCCCCTGAACGAGGACGCCTGCCTTTGGGTCAAGCAACATGGGCGCGATTCCTTTCCACAGCCAATCGCGCAGCCGCATCTAACGACATCTCGCGTCCATGTACCTCCACGCCGGCTGCCGCCATTACCTCCCGCGCTTCCTCCTCCCAGTTACCGGGGACACGAAAGAGACTGATTGTCTCCGCAGGGTTTCTTCCCTGCAGCCTCGACACCCATGACGACGCCGCGAGCGATGACATCCGCACGGGTATTGTTCACCACATTCATGATAACCGCCATCCCCTTAACGCCCGGCTTCGATAGCAGGAGCGATGTTATGGCGGCAACCTTCTCCTCAGTCGGATTGCCTCCCACCTCACAGTAGTTTGCAGGACTTCCGCCATGTGCCTTGATAGCGTCGAAAACGGTCAGACTTGCGCCACCGCCCCCGATCAGCAGTGCGAGATCACCGTCAAATTCTACAACCCGTCCGGCAACGCCCCGATGGTCTATCGCATCAATACGTTGGGCTTCCAATTCCAGAGGGGTGGGCGGACGACCCGCCGCAGTCATCGTCAATTCGCCTAACGGCTCCAACCTCTCCCTCTGTCGATACACCGCCTCGTCCTCAATCTCCACACGCGCATCAAGCCCGACAAGTGCCTCGTCTTTGGTAACGACCAGCGGATTGATTTCCATCGTAACCCCATCGCAGGCGAGAAACGCTTCCGACAACTTGGTAAGGATCTCCCCGACTCCCACGAGGGTTTTTCCCGTCAAGCCGACTTCGGCAGCCATCTCTCTTGCCTTGTAAGGCGCGAGCCCCGTCCACGGATCGAACGGTTGGCGTGCGACCTGATCGCTCTGGGCAGCTTCAACGTCCACACCACCCGGCGAGACTCAATAGAGCAACCGGCAGCTTTGCAACCGTATCCCATGTAATACCAACGTAAAACTCGCGTTCGTAGTTTAGTTTCGGTTCAATCGAAATCACTTCAACGGTTGTGCCGCGCAGGTCCATTCCGAGCAGAGCATTCGCTGCAATAACGGCTTGATCAACACTCTCCGCGAACCTCACCGCCCCAGCGTTCCCGCGCCCACCGAAAGGGGTCTGTGCCTTCAGGACAGCGGGCAGCCCGACACGCTCAATGGTTGCTCGCACTTCACCGATAGATTTGACCGGCGTCGATTCCGTAAAAACCAAGCCGAAATTGGAGAGTAACTTTTTGCTTTGATGTTCAAGGAGTCTCATCGCTTTTCTCTGTGATAGATAACAACTTGCCTGATTATACCATATTCCGATGAAAAGATGGAGTCGTTTCGATGGGTTAACACCATAGACAATCAAAGGGAAGCGTTTTGCGAGCACAAAAAAAGCGGTATCATATCTGTGAAAAAGAGTATGATACCGCTGTTGTATTGATTTAAGAGACCCTCTTACCGCGTAGAGGGCTCTTCACTTGGCTCGGAATGGACAGGCGACTCCCGTCGCTCGCGGTCAAATCGCCGTGCAGTCTCGGGATCCATCTCCCTAAAACGGCGCAGCCCTTCCTCCGTGCCGTACTGATCAATCAACTGCTGCGCTTTATCGAAACGCTCTGGTGATAGCTGCACCCCAATGCCTTCGGAAGTAGGTAGAGTGGGCATTTTGTTGGGGACCTGTCCCCCTGCCTCGCTTCGGCGAGAAGGCGTAGATTCGACGATTTCGGGTAGAAATGATGTAGAAACCGGGGCTTCTGAAGCAGTATCTGTATTACCGCCCTCAGAAAAGTTTGATACCCCTGAATACCCACCAGCCGATACTGACTCGCTACCTTCTAACACGCCGGGTGGAAGTTCTGCACCTTCTAACGCTCCGGGTGGAAGCCCTGCCCTGCTGCTGCGTAGCATCTTTTGCATCCAACCCGGTACCGCGCCTTCACCGTCATCGGGCAGAAAACTCACCTTCACCGGCGGCTTATCGGATAAGGGCGGGGGTATTATCTGAGGCTCTAACAGCGCAAGTCTATCGTGTATCGTTTCACCCTCGGTGCCACGCGGTTCAGCCATTAGATGCACTGGAAGTTCCAATTCTGAGCGTAAGATAGCATCGCCCTCATCATACTCCTGACCTATAGGAACTATGACTTTATACATGTTGCCATCAGGTCCAATAACCCGCTGCATGATTTGATGACGATCAAGCCGTACCTCCTTTTGATGGGTCTTTAGGTATGCCTCCACTGCGGGCGTCCTCTTGCCCGTTATGAACCATTCCTCTACTTCTAAATCTGATTGACTCATCTCTTCTTCGGTATGGATTGAAAAACCGGCGATTTTATAAATATATTTACTACTGCTATCAGGCTTATGTTCAGAATCAACACCACCTGACTGTGGGGCAAGTGCCGACTCCGACTGACCGGCGGAAACTGCTAGGGCGGCTTCGGAAGAATGCACAGACTGACCTACAATTGAACGATTAAACGCTTCAGTTTTCGACAGAAACGCTTTAAACTCTACATGGTTCCGGTACGCCCTATACCCAAAATAAGTGATACTGAACAAGGCAATAATACACCCACCAATAACGTAAGGACTGAAACGATGCTTTAACATAGGATCACCTTCCATAAATTGAACTTAGAATGTCAACGGTTACTCCGCATCGCGCGCACAGCGGAAACCGACCTGCAAGCCACGATAGCCCGGCGGATACCAAGCCCGATAACTACACTCCAACTGAAAGCGAAGACCGCCCCACGCACCACCGCGCAAAATACGAAAGTCGCCCGTTGCTTCAGAATGGCTATCCGATACCCATTCTGAGACGTTGCCCGCACAATCTTGTAACCCGTACGGACTCGCACCAGACGGGAAACGCCCCACTGGAAAGGTTCTGCGGCTATCCGCCATACTGTAACCGATTCGAGAAAAGTCCATCTCATCGCCCCATGGATAGCGCCGACCTTCTGTCCCACGCGCCGCTTTCTCCCATTCCGCTGACGTAGGCAGCCGTTTATCCGCCCAACGCGCATAGGCTTCCGCCTCATACCAACTCACGCCCACTACCGGTTGGTCAGGATCGCTATAACGGTTGCGTCCCAAACCAAGCGGGCGGTCTATACCGTTGCTTTGGATGAACGACCAGCCCGCTTGCAACCACAACGATTCCGTTTGGTAACCATCGGCGAGGATGAACTCTTCGTATTCTTGGTTCGTTACCTCATACACATCGATAAAGTATGCTGGCAAATCGACCAGAGCGGCGGCAGCACCGTCTCCCATCTGAAACTCGCCGGCGGGTATCAAAACCATCTCCGCAGCCGGATCCGCTCCAGCCGACTCTGAATCTGAGGCTTCTAAGCCGACACTCAGCATTCCCATAAAGATAAGCGATACCGTTATTAAAAAACTACTATCGATTTTTTGCTTTTTCATGTGTATCACTGCTCCCATTTCCCCTTGCCTGCGAGGGGGCAAGGAAAGTATCAACTATCAACACTATCTCTTGACAATGCCATAGATCGGAATCTTTATCTCAGGTTGATTCTTACTATTCGTCCGAATGATTAGCGTATCCGTCAAATCGCCAGCCGGTGCGCCTGCACCTATCGATAACTGTACCTCATACCGATTACCCGATTCCAACGTCTCAACCTGCGCGTCAACATATTGTGAACTCGTCTGAACCGATGAAATCTCTAAATGGTCGCCACGAATCCGGGACAGCTGGACGCGCTTACGCGGTACCTCGGATGGCTTCACTATCCCTAAAAATAACCGCTTCGGCGATACGGAGACATCTCCTAAAATCTCGCCCGAAATCGGGACGCTCCACGAATAGCGACGACCATCATACGCAAAATCAAGCCCTAAGCTCTCTCTAAATGTACCCACCGGCATACCTGAACCCACCGTTATCTGTATACGCACATTCCCATTCCTTGACGGAGGCACCAACTCGGCAAGAATATATTCGGAACTCGGTTTTATCCCCACCACTTCCGCCTGCTGCGCTAACGTTTGACGTAACAGCAGATGTCTACCCGAAAATGAAGATGAGGAAATTTTGCCCAGCATTAAACTTGCAGGAATCGCCTCAAATGGCGTGATGACCGTCGCTTTTACCGCCAATTCAAAATGCGGGAACGCCGCCTGATTCGTCGTCAACTTCACCACTTCATGCACCACTTCTGACCGTGGCGGTGCCTTAAACGCTACCTTGATCTTGCCAGTTCCGCCCGGCGGTATACGGGTGTCTGAGAGGAACCCGGTCGTACAGTAGCAGCTGCTCTCTACATCCGTTATTTCTAGGACTTCGTCGCCACGATTCGTAAAAGTAAAAATGTGTGCTACCTCTGTGCCACCGAACACTTCCCCGAAATCGTGAATCGGTGACGCTATCTCAACAGGGAGAGCCGCTTTCACCGCTGGGGGTGACGCCACCTCTACCTTGCCGGCTACCTCGACCTTATTCGGAACGGGTTGCTGATTCGCCTGTGGGGGCTCCGCTGCAGCAACCACTTCAGCTGCTTGTTTGTCTGTCTGCCTGTCAACAGTAAACAGAAGGAGATAACCGCCCCATATTTTTTCAAACTCATCAAAGGATAGCACGCCATATAACTCGACGGGATCTAAGCAGTAAACCTGATTCTCTGCAACGCGTGTGACGACCAGAAAGTGGTCTTGATTCACGTGCGCGATCACCGGCTTCTCTAACTGTTGCAAGTCCGATATGCCCGCCTTTATCCCCACCGGATTCAAGCCCTTGCGCTGTGCCGCGCTATACAAGCCCGCCATCGTCGTGCCGGTCTCTGGACTAAACGCTGATAATTCGGCTAGCTCCGCAAAACTGGTCTCTACGCCGAGAAGATTGCAAATCATTAGCAGACTCCGCGGACCGCACTCTAACAGCGCCGGTGATGAACCCGCTGAACGGGCTCTCGCACTATCCGTCGACGCGCTTTCCACACTCCGGTTCGCTATCAGTTCTGTGCCGATACCGAAGTAATCTGCAGGGAAACTCACGTTAAACACCGCCGCTTTGACCGCAAATCGCTCTTCAGATTGGATCTCGCC